TTCTTTATGATCCGCACATGCTTTATGAGGAAAAGGAATGCTGATGTCCAGGCTCATCACACCTTTTTCAAGGTCTTTGCCCCTGAAGTTCTCACTGGACTTATCACTTATTTTCAGTAGGAAAGTGGTTTTAAAATAAGTATTCCACAATGACTAGAAATATGTATTTTGTTTTTATATTCCTGAAATGATGTTATCATATTTTTATCCCTAAATGTTTAAAACTACCCACATTCATTGGTAAAACTCTAATTATTAATAATTGTTTATAGTCTTATCTCATTTGCTGCTATTAGATTTGCAATAGTAGCATCTATGCAAGCATAGACTTTTGCATCTATGATTTCAGGTGAAAGTTTTGTCACTGTGTGTATTTTTTTTATCAGATTTTTTTACATTAGAGACTGGCACGTAATGTAAAATGGAGACTGTACAGATAAATGGGATATTTGTTGACTATCTTTTAAATATCATTTTCCTTTTCCTAAAATTTTCCTGATTTCTTTTAGGGATACATATTTTGCAGGAAAAATGATTCTGTGCTACATCAGTATCTTTGGTGGGAATGCTATTGCAAAGAAACTTTGTTTTTACTGTTAGATGTGAGCAAGAGGTCATATAGCCTCATAGCTGCTAGGATGAGGTTGCCAATGATGAAGAAAACGTGGAAGGCTATAAAGAGATGTGTTGAGTGTTTAGATAGAGCCTCACCTGGAGTCAGCCCAGTTGGGGGTTGTAGGTAATTTAAATTCCCGTTGTTTTTATAAGTAATTTGTATGAAGACATCTTTTTGCTAATCAAGTTGGGTTTTCTTTTACTTAAAAACATTCTCGTAATAACAAGTTTGACATTAAAGTGGGATATTGAAAGTAACAGGATGGTAAAATATGGAATTAGTTGAATCAAGTAGGAGAAAGCCAGGAATGAACTCTCATTCTGAGTTGGAAAAACCCCTTGATAGGTTAATTGGCAGCATAAGTACTTTGTCTTTGAGTATCTGGGAACTCTTTTCTGAGTCTGCTTTCTGAGGCTACAGCTTAATTATAGGAAATATTAGAATAAATTTAATTGTTTTAAATTGTATTGGTGACATTTATATTTTTTATGAAGACTTCTTTTTCTTCCTTCTCCCCCTCTTCCTTTGCTTTCTTCTTCTCTTTAAAGATTTTTGTATTCAGAAAATTTCAAACCGTATGTATAATACTAACTACACCAGTTAATTCATTTAGACATTTTATTGTGCATAATTTATTAAAAGAACTTTTTTTCTTGAGGCAACATAATTTTACTTGCCAAATATTCTATTTTAAAGTATACTTTTCACTTAAAGCATACATATACAGAGAAGGACACAAGTGTAGCATCAGTGTAGGGTACAATGAGTTTTGCATCATGAGCACAACCTGTGATTAGCACATGTCTTAAGAAACAAAATTACCCACACCTTAGATATCACCTTTTGTTTTTCCCTCACCAGTACAATCTGTTAAGAGTACTTTATGAGACAGCTTATTTTTTTTTTAAGATTTATTTATTTATTCATACAGAACTGGGGTACAGACCAGAGATACAGAGGGTGAGAGGATTCACGAGGGACAGAGTGGGGAGCAGAACAGGCAGATTGAAGAGGTACACTGCTGAGGGGAGCAGCGGGCGGGTCAGGAGAGGTCTGCCACACCATGTGGTCACCTCTGGGGCATGCGGGGTTCGAAGTGGCTTTAGCTTCTTAGTGCAGTGCTTTAACCTGCTGCGCCACCAGGGAGGGCCGAGACAGCTTATTTTTAAAGAGAAACATACCTTAAGAGGAAAGAAAATATTAAAGAGCGGTCTGTGTATGGCCTACAATCCTGGTAGTCAATATAGATATCTCCGTCTTCATTCAAAGCATTTGAACAAGACTGAGTTTTAGCAAATTTAATTGCCTTTTATCCCCATTGCCAAATGATAGGTCCCAATCAGCCCGAATTTCAAAGCTCATGGTAGAAATCTTGATCAAATATGTTGTCTTTCCTTTTATATTTGAGGAAGACAGTAAAACTGGGAGCTTGTTATAATAATCTTACATTTATACATGGATCATTTGAAGATTAAGGTGATTCCTAGAATGGTAAAATTTTAAATGTGTCCATGACATTATTTTATGAATTTTAAAGCATACACTATTAACAGATATATTTAGTGTGACTTGTTCTAATTATCTTCTCTGACTTTTTTTTAACCTAACTAAAATCCTAGAATGCAATATTAATAGACCAGCTTGAATTTACTGAAAAAAAAGAAAGAAAGAAAGAAAGAAAGAAAGAAAGAAACTTGTAAAGCAGAAGTAGGAAGATAATTGGGATAGTAATCTATAAGCTTTAAATGTTCAACCAGGGAATTTGGAGTTCATTTATTTAATTGGATAGAGGAACCCATTCACGTTGGAAGATTCATCAGTTAGTAGAGTACAAGAGTACTAGACTGTAGGGCTTGGGAACAAGTTAGTAAGGTTTTCAAATAATACAAGCATAGCTGAATGAAGTACTACAAGTACTTCATTGCCAATGAAGACAATGGCAATGGAGAGAAAGATGAGTAAAAGGCTATACAATAAAGCAGTAATCTTTGTGTTAACAGAAAACTTATGGCAACTATATAGTTACCAATGACACCAGGCTCAAACTGCTGCATCTTGTCCTGCTAGCCTGTATCTGCTTGACTCTCCTTCAATCTGATTATTGTTCTACTGGACCTTGAATCCTTGATTTCAACAAAAACTCCTCCCTAAACTTAAATGATTTGGCTGGAATCTTACTTCATGCTTAGTTTTTTTTTTTAAGATTTATTTATTTGTGCATACAGAACTGGGGTACAGGCCAGAGGTGCAGGGATGGTGAGAGGATTCACCAGAGACAGAGTGGGGAGCAGAACAGGCAGATCGACAAAGTACACTGCTGAGGGGAGCAGCGGGCGGGTCAGGAGAGGTCTGCCACACCATGTGGTCACCTCTGGGGCAGGCGGGAATTGAACTCATGCGGAAGTGGCTTCAGCTTCTCAGTGCTGTGCTTTAACCCGCTGCGCCACCAGAGAGGGCCCATGCTTAGTTTTTTTTTTAGGTGATTTTCTAATTGACATTTTTCACCCCAGCCAATTTTATGAACCAAGATGTTTAGGACTGACGATAATTTCCTCTGTCTCTTAAGCATTGCTTGGATTTCCCATGCCTACAAGATTGTTTTTTTTTTTTTTTTTCACTACTAATTGCTATTGTTGGAAATGAGACTGAAATTACATTGAAGCTTTGAAAGTTCAGATGCCAGAACAGGTTCTAGGGTTTTGAATTCCGGCATAGATCATTGACATCAGTGGACTACCAGGTTACTTAACATCTTCATTGTTTCATTTCTTCAACTGCAAAATAGAGATTTGAAAATATACTTCTTCATAAGAGTGTTGTAAAGATTAAATAAACTGAGAGTAGTTAAAAGAAGTCCACATACATGGCAGACACTAAAGCCATGTTAGTCATCATCTGAATATTGGCTGAAGTGGCAACCTAACTGTATTGCCTTCATCAGGCTCAGTGGAGGTACCATACTTGCTCTCTTAGCTGAGGGCCCCATAAGGAGCGTCTAAGAAAAGAGTTTGGATGCAGGCAGTTTATGTGAAAAGTGATTCCAGGGAGGTGAGATGGAAGCAACTAAGTACCAATAAAGTGTGATTTACTGAAGTTGTTACACTAGACCCCAGATTAGTCATCATCTGAAGACATCATCGCTTGAAGGAGAAATATTAAATATTGCAATGATTTGTGGTCCTCCAAAGGGATATACGATATATCTATTCTATTAAAATCTCATGAGGATTAGTGATTAAGAAAAACTTTATTAAAAAAGTACCTTAGGAAAAATAACAATAATAACAATAGTTGTAGCAGTAAACAGCAGAGATAATGAGTGTTTACTCCATAGAGCTCAACCTCTAAGAAGCCTATAAAATGCCTTCCAGATGTTCTGGTGCCTTTATTCATCAACTCATTGCTCATTAGTTAAAAGTTGCCATTAACATACCCATACTTCCAGTGCCCTGACCAGAGTAAGGGGACAAAGACAAGGAGATCTGAGGCAGAATATCAGTGGTGCAGCAGTTCAGAACGGTCTACCGCAGCCACAGCAGGTCAGAGATGAGCTTGTGGCAGGGAATGTAGAAATTCCTAATATCCATGTTGGAAGTTTCAACTGACTGCTGAATCCTGGCTTCCTTTACTTGAACAAAGTTCTGGACTTTAAGTTTCCTTATTTTACATTTCTGAAGGCCACTTTTATAATGCAACTTTACTGCTTTGTCATGTGAGATGCGCATATGAGGGCCAGGATTATGACCCTTGGATATAAGTTTCTCCTTTCTTCATTTGCCTCTTAGAAAGGCTTCTTAAGAACTTCTTTATAAAAACACTGTTTGTGCATGTGTGTATGTGGGGGGCACACAAGAACTAATAACTACAATTTATCTGTTTGATTTCCCCAAATCAAATTTGACACTCACTCTGTTATGGACCAATTTGTCACTGACTTCTTTGTTTAGATTTTAAAATATAAAAGCAAATTATTAGCTATATAAGTTCATCACATTTCTGACAGCCAATCCAGGTAAACACAAAATACTTCCTGAGGGGGAAAAAAACATAAAATTGAACCAAAGACAATTTCCCTAACATAGCTTCATAATAATTTACTAATACATAAATATGTAAGCATCAGGATTAGTCAAAAAGCTAAATCAAATATTATATTCAGTCTACAGAGTACATTGAGCAGAGAAGAGTTTGCCTTGGAACTATGTAAACTAATGGAAATAGCAGTATATATCCCAGTGCTAACTATCACCTCATAGGAAGCAGAAAAAGCAGTGAACAAGGGACATATGTTAATATTGAATTTGCTTATACAGCTTATTGAAATCAAACATCTCAAAATGTATTTGTTCTCTTTCTGATGATAGGTAAACAAGAATAAATATCAATGGGAGAAGAAAACAAAACTTCTGTGACTGAATTTATCTTGCTGGGACTTTCACAAGATCCAAAGATCCAGATCTTGCTGTTCTGTATTTTCTTGATCATCTACCTTCTCTCTGTATTTGGAAACCTGCTCATAATAATCCTGATCCAGACGGACTCTCGACTTCACACTCCCATGTACTTCTTCCTCAAAAACTTGTCTTTTGCTGACCTCTGTTTCTCTACAAGCATTGTTCCCCAGATGTTGGTGCACTTTCTTATAAAAAAGAAAACCATCTCTCTCATTGGATGTTCCCTACAGATAGTGGTCTTCCTTTTAGCAGGCTGTACAGAGTGCACCCTGCTGGCAGTGATGTCCTATGACCGCTATGTGGCTGTCTGCAAACCCCTGCACTACTCTACCATCATGACCCAGAAGATCTGTGTCCAGCTGGCCATAGTGTCTTGGATAAGTGGGGCATTTGCATGTTCAGTGGACAGTGGATTTACACTGTGTCTCCCCTACCGGGGACAGAATGTAATTAATCACTATTTTTGTGAACCTCCTGCTCTCTTGAAATTGGCTTCAGCAGACACCTACAAGGCTGAAATGGCTCTCTTTTCAGTGGGGGTGGTCATCCTTTTAGCTCCTCTCTCCCTCATCTTTGTCTCCTACTGGAACATCATCTCCACTGTGGTCCGGATGCAGTCAGGAGAGGGCAGGCTCAAGGTGTTTTCTACCTGTGGCACCCATCTCACTGTTGTGGTTCTCTACTTTGGCTCTGGAATATTTGCCTACATGAGACCAAATTCCAAGACCATGAGTGAAAAGGATAAGGTCATTTCTGTGTTCTATTCAGTTATGACTTCTATGTTGAACCCTATCATTTACAGCTTGAGGAACAAGGATGTGAAGGGCGCTTTCAGGAAGCTAGCTGGAAAATAGCTCATCTTCAGAGGCGATGATTCATGACATTTTTCTTAAGTACTTGGATACAACAATAACTCTTCCATCCTCATCCTTTCCTTTCCTTGTTTTATTTGCCTCAGTTGATTTTCTGCTCCACATATGCTCATTAATGCCTACTCTGTGAAAGCACTGTGCCCAGAATCTCACACATGAGTAAAAATTAGTGTCTTTTTTAATGGAATCTGAGTTACACACAACTTAAGGTAACACACATATAGATAGAATGAGTTTTTTAAGTTAAATAAAGGAAGAATATTTAAGATAAAAAATACTGTGATGTTAAAAATAAGGATAATAGCTTATTTCAAGATCAGGAATATTTCAAGAAAGTGACCCAAATCAACCAAAATGAGATTGATTTTTTTTCTTTTCCTATTTTCTTTTTTTTAAATTTATTTATTTGTGCATACAGAACTGGGGTACAGGCCAGAGGCTCAGGGGCGGTGA